CTATTTTTGAACACACGTGTCTTTTATTTTGTACGTGGTAGTGTAGACATACCCCCTGAGTTTTGTTCAGTAAAGAGAGTTTCTATTTTTGAACACACGTGTCTTTTATTTTGTACGTGGTAGTGTAGACATACCCCCTGAGTTTTGTTCAGTAAAGAGAGTTTCTATTTTTGAACACACGTGTCTTTTATTTTGTACGTGGTAGTGTAGACATACCCCCTGAGTTTTGTTCAGTAAAGAGAGTTTCTATTTTTGAACACACGTGTCTTTTATTTTGTACGTGGTAGTGTAGACATACCCCCTGAGTTTTGTTCAGTAAAGAGAGTTTCTATTTTTGAACACACGTGTCTTTTATTTTGTACGTGGTAGTGTAGACATACCCCCTGAGTTTTGTTCAGTAAAGAGAGTTTCTATTTTTGAACACACGTGTCTTTTATTTTGTACGTGGTAGTGTAGACATACCCCCTGAGTTTTGTTCAGTAAAGAGAGTTTCTATTTTTGAACACACGTGTCTTTTATTTTGTACGTGGTAGTGTAGACATACCCCCTGAGTTTTGTTCAGTAAAGAGAGTTTCTATTTTTGAACACACGTGTCTTTTATTTTGTACGTGGTAGTGTAGACATACCCCCTGAGTTTTGTTCAGTAAAGAGAGTTTCTATTTTTGAACACACGTGTCTTTTATTTTGTACGTGGTAGTGTAGACATACCCCCTGAGTTTTGTTCAGTAAAGAGAGTTTCTATTTTTGAACACACGTGTCTTTTATTTTGTACGTGGTAGTGTAGACATACCCCCTGAGTTTTGTTCAGTAAAGAGAGTTTCTATTTTTGAACACACGTGTCTTTTATTTTGTACGTGGTAGTGTAGACATACCCCCTGAGTTTTGTTCAGTAAAGAGAGTTTCTATTTTTGAACACACGTGTCTTTTATTTTGTACGTGGTAGTGTAGACATACCCCCTGAGTTTTGTTCAGTAAAGAGAGTTTCTATTTTTGAACACACGTGTCTTTTATTTTGTACGTGGTAGTGTAGACATACCCCCTGAGTTTTGTTCAGTAAAGAGAGTTTCTATTTTTGAACACACGTGTCTTTTATTTTGTACGTGGTAGTGTAGACATACCCCCTGAGTTTTGTTCAGTAAAGAGAGTTTCTATTTTTGAACACACGTGTCTTTTATTTTGTACGTGGTAGTGTAGACATACCCCCTGAGTTTTGTTCAGTAAAGAGAGTTTCTATTTTTGAACACACGTGTCTTTTATTTTGTACGTGGTAGTGTAGACATACCCCCTGAGTTTTGTTCAGTAAAGAGAGTTTCTATTTTTGAACACACGTGTCTTTTATTTTGTACGTGGTAGTGTAGACATACCCCCTGAGTTTTGTTCAGTAAAGAGAGTTTCTATTTTTGAACACACGTGTCTTTTATTTTGTACGTGGTAGTGTAGACATACCCCCTGAGTTTTGTTCAGTAAAGAGAGTTTCTATTTTTGAACACACGTGTCTTTTATTTTGTACGTGGTAGTGTAGACATACCCCCTGAGTTTTGTTCAGTAAAGAGAGTTTCTATTTTTGAACACACGTGTCTTTTATTTTGTACGTGGTAGTGTAGACATACCCCCTGAGTTTTGTTCAGTAAAGAGAGTTTCTATTTTTGAACACACGTGTCTTTTATTTTGTACGTGGTAGTGTAGACATACCCCCTGAGTTTTGTTCAGTAAAGAGAGTTTCTATTTTTGAACACACGTGTCTTTTATTTTGTACGTGGTAGTGTAGACATACCCTCGGAGTCTCAAGTTAGGCATCCAAAATTAGCAGACCCTTTTAACTGTGCCTTGGCTCCCTATTTGTAAAACAGGGATCATATCATCACCTCATCTCACTCAGCTTTGGTAAAAATTAAACAAACACTCATTAATTATACACACTCTAGTGAGGAGTGCCACAGAAAAGTCCAGGAGGAAATTAATGCTTCTGTCTTCAGAGCAGGGTTTGAATTGTGTGCAGTAAATAAGGCCTAGGGCTACATACTGAATGGTGGAGATGAAACAACATTAAACCGTAGTTCATTTGAGCACCATCCATCCTGTGCATTCAATAAAGCCAGGGTTCTGGGAAGAAGAGCAGGCATCCTTAACTCTGGTATTTCTTAACTTCTGAGTACTTAATTTTGCACCCTAATATTCTTAACTTTTGTTTTGCTGTATTTATATACCATAAACATGCACATAAACACCACTTAGTGGAGGGGAAAGCCTTTATTTCCAGGATTCACTTAAGCTCATAGGGTATGTCTACACTACCACCCTAGTTTGAACTAGGGTGGTAGTGTAGACATACCCATACTGGGTTTAATACATTTCTAATTGTGATGGCAAGTTCTTCATGAAATCAATGCTCACTTTTCCCTAATAAAATGGATTTTAAATTGCAGTTTTGAAAAAAAGGCACCAAGTCAAAACTCAGGGTACATCTAAACTACATGGCTCCGTCGACAGAGCCATCTAGATGAGGCAGAATGACAAAGGGAAATGAAGCGGCGATTTAAATAATTGCCACTTCATTTAAATGAAAATGGTCGCCGGGCTGTGCCGACAAACAGCTGATCGGCACAGCGCGGTGGCCATTTTGATTTAAATGAAGAGGCGATTATTTAAATTGCCGCTTCATTTCCCTTTGTCGTTCTGCCTCATCTACATGACTCCGTCAATGGAGCCATGTAGTCTAGACATACCCTCAGTGAAAATACATAGACAAAATTTACATCTACCACAATTGTCTTTATTTTCCCATCCACTTCACACTGGGACCTTTCACATTTTACTATGTTGCAAAAGATTTAATAGAAAAATAGACAAATCCCACCCCCTTTTTGAATATCTTGGAAACTTTGTGAATCCACAAGAATATAAAATAGTGAGCATATATTTTTCTAAGAAAGACCTTTCCGAATATTACCATTCTAGTACTTCATGTACTTCCTAGCATTTCTCTGCTTGAAGGTGATTTTTTGAGCAAAATCCATCCTCCTATTTTGAGGAATGGGATGATAAGCTTTTCCATTAATCACTAATAAAAGCCATATGGGATGATACAAACCATCTCTGGTTATTCTCAGGGGGAATTTGCTAAAATTTCAGCAGAGCTTAACATAGTCCTTCCCCCTTTGTGACTGATATCAGTGCACATTCTCTTTTCTGGTGCCGGGGAAAGGCATAAGGGCTACAGGTAGAATAATCAGAGACATACTCCATGAAGCAGGAGATCATAGTATGGCCCTTAATGTTCTGTTACTGAACTTTATTTGTCTTATACAGTCTATGGATAGACTGTGTCCTGAAGGTAGACATTACACTAGGGAAGTATGGTATCTCTGCACCCAAAGGGTAACACAAGCAGGCATTGTGTTTTGAATAGTCACAGTCCTTCCCCAAGTCCCTGAAAGGCACTATTTTTTATTCTCAAAAACATTAAGTTCAAAAGATGGTGCAGGTTCAATTGACCCCTATGTACAATAAAAGTTAAAATTCTATTTTTCATTAGATAGAAAAAAGAAATGGTTGAACAAAGTGCTGTCTACTGCCTTTGATGCCTGACCTTATTCATTATTCTCTCTTGCTTAAAAAAAGGCTTGGAAAATTGCATTATTATACCATCAACCCTGACTCAATATAGACACAAAAGACAGGAAAGAGAAATCCCACAGAGCTCTACTATTGACTTGTTAGAATTCCAGGAGCCTGCCAGCAATGTAGTAACTCTCTATGCGTAACGAACAAGCACCGAGAAGGACACCCTGCCCTTTTTTGATTCATGTTCTAATCTTCTAGAGAATCAATTGTCATTGTTTTTCCATTAACAATAAATTGTCCTGTGTGCCTATAGATGTTCTCTGCTAATTCTATGGGAGGAAATTTTACCTTTTGCCCCAGTGGATTCTTAGTACAGTATATCCCGCAAGATCCCAGTCAGAAATGAACAAATTAGAGCTCAGGCTGGAAGAAATACAATTTAATCTTCTTAAGAATTCCTAGTGTTAGTATTTTATATGGAAGACTGACACTTTCAACATTCTTTCCCTCATAATAAGTCTTTCTGTCATGTGAATTTCTAGTGTTAAAAAAGTGCCACATGACATTTGTGCAAGTTTACCAATAGTTAACACTAAATCAATTATGCCTATTCTGAGCTTCTAAAAACTAAAATAAATATTTATATAATGTATTCATGATGTAATTCCTGTATAACAAATACCAGCCAATGTTCAGTGTATAATTCACTAGGGACCCATGCCTAGCTGGGGAGGGTGGATGAGTTCCAGTGAGGAGGAAGGGGAGGAGATTCCCTACTTGGGCAGCAGTGATTGGAGGCACTCGAAAGACCGCAGGAGACTTTTGATCCAGTAGACATTCAATCAGGCCCATGGTGAAACATAACCTTTGTTGTACCTTAAAAAGGTGTTAGTCAGAGTCCCCTGGCCTAGCATCTCTGTTCTTATGAACCTATCAGCTGTGCTATGGTCCCACTAGACACACCTAGTCTGTCACCTCTCTCTTGCTGTCCTCAGAACTGCAAGGTGATCATGGCTACCTTTTACAAGTGTGTGCTAAACAGAAAAAAGTTCCTCAAAAAATGAGGTTTATGCTGCTGCAGAATTTGCATATCCTTTTTCGACTGTTCCATGTAGTCTAGAAGAGTCCTTTTCCCCTTTCAGTGCATGAGCACAAGAGAAGCATCATTTGTCCCAATATTAGCAGACTAGTAAAGCAGATTTTGTGCTCACCACAGGCCAGTCCCTTCCATGATTGTTTCCACAGCAACTGTCACTTGGGTCCTTGTTCACATGAAGCATTTTATTTCACTGTGCTGTTAAGTTTAATCTCCTATTACAGAAGCACGAGAAACATTGCCAAGTTATGCTGAAAATGTTGAAGTTAATGTTTGTTCCTGAAAATACTCAACCAATATCCTATCAGCAGGTTTTAACATTTCGTATCCTTGATCTAAATTAAAAGGAGAATAAAAGAAGCTGATGTATTTGACTGCTCAACGCAGGAAAAAAAAAGGCAGAAAGGCATGCCAACTGACTGAGAAATGTGAAAGAATTTCAGAAAAAATCACCCTAATCAATACCATTTCTTTCAAGCTAAGCAATCCTTTCATCCCAACCAGTGAGTTTGAAGGTAATGTGAGAAAACACAGACAACCCATGTCTATTTTAAATCTGTCCCTTTCTGGGTTAGTTAGGGGATTTGAGCTGTTAACGCAATACATAATTTTAACTTGAAGGATATTTAGATTAAACAGAATAAACCTTTCCTCTGCACATAGTTTTGTTTTTAATTAACTTCTATGGAATCCACTTACAGTACTCTCTGGCTGTGTGCACCCTTCTCACTTTCTTTTAGTTTAGTACTATATTGACACAGTGCCCCCTTGTGCCACTTTCTTAGTTTTCATTGGTATCATGCAGTCCTCTTTGGTGCTTGTCTGTTCCCTAGAAAGCTAGGTATAATAATGTAAATGTGCAAAATAGTCTTCAGTATTCAATGGCAGTATGATCACATTGGGCCATGATAAAGCTGATTCATCTGTTTAAATAATGGGCAAGACAAAGGAAAAACATTAGAAATTATCTAGAACTTTCCCAAGATGCCCGCAGAAGTTGTGTTGCTATAAGGAAGAAGACTCTAGAGGATACCCATTTCTACCTTCTATCCTTCATTTCATGAATGTCATTCCTACCGTAGAAGATTTAAATAAACATTTTAAAAGGGATCAATGTATATGCTCATTCAGGGAGTGCCACTTGTTCATTTCAAATAAATCTATAATTTGTATCCCACAGTTTTTGCTCTGGCTGAACTAAATCATCTTGGGACTGATTCAGCATTCTTTGGGCAAAATGGGAGCTTAAGGAACAACAATACTGAATTTCACTACTCGTTGTCATTGTCATCACCATCACTGCCAATCCAGTTGAGTCTATGTTTCCTGGGTTCAGTTGGCAGGACATGGTGGCCTTCAGGGGGAAATGGCCACCATTTGTCTGTTAGTTTCTCTCCAGAAAAATAGTTCCTGAAGCTCTGGTTCCTTGGAGCTGGATGCTGTTTCATAACATCTGTGTGGCATCACCACCATACTGAAGTGTCTGAGTTTTTTGACACCAAACTTTTACTGTTTAGTGTTAAACATCAACAAGGATAACTTGTGAGGTCTGATATCGCCCCTCTGCACACTTTTGTTCTTAATCTACCCCAATAAAATAAATACCCCATGCATATTTTCTTATTTGGGAGCCGTTAGTAACAGAAAAATATACCACTGTGACCAATACAAACTCCAGTATATCAGAGTTATTTAAATTATTAGGAAAAGTTTAAGTGACTTATTAGCTACTAATAGAATTATTCTTTTATACAAGGGTTTCCCCAGATAGCCCCCATCTGGCTCTTTAAAGATGAAGAAGAACAACATTTTGCTCGTCTCTTACCTGAAATTTGGGTATTTAAAAAAGCCCCTTTTGACTCCATGTTGGAGTTTTCTGAGTCCTCTCATTTTCATGATTGGCAAGTTTTCTGCTGAAACCTGTGTCCTCTTCCTTGTGTCTTCTTACTTTTGCAGTACTTGTCACCTTTTTTGCTGCTTTTGTATGGTGCTTCATACTCACTTCTGTTTCTTGGAGTTTATTCAGTACACTATCTTGTAAATGTCATACGCAAAAGAGGCATTGTTGGAGAAATGTGGAAGTCATAACACAAAGGAGGCTGTATCAGAGTTGAGGATGAATACTTCCTTTGTATTGCTGTTCATCAAAGTCTTAAGTATCATTGGCCATTACAATTAATAATTCATGTGAAGTCATTTTAATTAAATTTGTTATATGTCCAGGATGGCACAGTCTTCCAAAGTACTCAGTATTCTACTTTTGAGTAAGGCTTATGATCTTACTTTTACACTTAACATTCTGAAAATATTAGTACACATTATAAAGATTGTAGGCTCTTTGTGGCATAGACTTTCTCTGTGTTTGCACTGCACCTAACACATTGGGGTCTCAGTTCATAATTAGTGCTTGTAGGCACTACCACAATAGAAATAATATATTTATCAGTTGAAGAATACATTCTGTTTTACAACAGACACACAGTGAAGGTAGCTAACATACCACACTCTTGCTAGAATGTTGTGGCATAACCCTACTTTATTTTTTAGAATTTACAACAATAGAGGACGAGAATCCCAAAACTGAGAGAAATCAACAGGCTATTCTCTAAGACTGAGGAACTGCTCAACCCGTCATACTTTCTCTACCACAGGGGTAGGCAATAATTTTTAAAAGGGAGCCACTTCACAAATTTCTGAAGTGGCTCTGGGCCTCCCCGGAAGGGGTGGAGCTTCGAGTGGAAGAGGTTGGGCCATGAGACTTCACATATTCCCCCGCCACAGACCCTGACTGGGGGTGGGAGAGTGTGTGAAGTCTTCCTCCCCTTCTTGCCTAGAGAGAATTGACAGCTGTTTAAAAACAGCCAGTGGTTCCCTGTAGGTGCTGAAGCAGGAGGAGACCTCGAGCACTCTCCCAGCCCCCAGGCCAATGAGGGCCTGGGGATGAGAATGCATGAAGTCTCTTGCCCCCTGTCCCACCCTGCCAGGGGTGCGGGGTGGGGGAGCAGAAAGACAGATTTGGCCCGTGGAGGCCCCTTTGCCCACCCCTGCTCTACCATGTTTCCTGGAGGGACTGCTATTGACAAGATGCCAGGAAGGAACACAGGGAGTTAGGCTGGAAGCCACACAGGCACATGTACAGAGCAGAGCACAAGTGTTCATGAAGTTCCACTTGTTCAAAGCAGCAATGACACAGAAACTGAGTGAGACCATGGCAGAAGACTGTTAACTTTTCTACAGTGATACGGGGACAAGAGTATAAAACTCAATCCAGAAAAAAAAAGGTGACACAAACATCAAAAGTGAATACATCGGATATTTGCTCACAGTGGAGGGACTTAAAGCAGATCCTAACAAGATCAAAGCAGTCAGAGACATGCCTGATCCAGTGGATGTCGTCGGTCACTTCAATTTACAGACTGAAGCGATCATAAATATTTGAATTACAAATGAAGTGATTCCTCTTTGAGCCCATTATAAGACATTGGCATATTGTGTGAAAAGTTTCTAGCATTGCCCAGTGTGAGTAATATAGACTCTGCTATGGATCCCAAGAGTGTTAATGCTTTGTTTTTAATGCTTCAGAGGGGTAGCCGAGTTAGTCTGTAACTGGAAAAACTTGAAAAACAATGAATAGTCCAGCAGCACCTTAAAGACTAGCAAAACATGGTACCATCTATATGTTTTGTTAATCTTTATGGTGCTGCTAGACTATTCGTTGTTTTTAATGTCTGTAAAATTAGGGAAGATATATCAAGATCAATGGAACTGAGGCCAGGGGGCCCATGTTCCTTGGAGGCACTTCTTGATGGGACACCAGGAAAACTGGAACATGAGATGGTAGGCTGGAAGACAGTCAGTGACTTATACAGAGCAGTGCTCTTGTCCAACTTAATCTGCAATCATCCTCACTCAGTGCTAATGAAACACTCTAAACTGGCTTTCTACAGACAGACTGCTGCTAAGCCCAGTCTGCATAATTCCCTACAGACCGTGCATACAGTTTGTAATTTTAATTCAGTTTACAATGGATCAAAGTAGGGTGAGAGGGAGGTTCACTTCACATATTACAGAAATGCAGCCTTTTCTGTGGTAGACCAGTTTAGATTTTTAGTTACACTGTTACACAGCAATACTGTACAACAGCTTAGGCAGGAAATGAGAAGAATACCCTATCCACTGGAAATAGTACAGGGAATTTAATAAGGCAGCAGGGGAATTCCTAATTCAAACTTGTCCAATACACTGAGCTAACACTCATATTCCTGCATAGAGTATTACAGGACCATGAGCTGACTAAAAGTGGATAAGAGGACTTTGGTTTTTCAACGCATCATAAGTATAAACTTTCAACCTATTGTTCAGGAATTGGTTCTTGTGATTCAGAAGGAAGAGGGAGTGCAGTCAGGTGACCATTGACATCACTTCCTGTGACTCCCTGAGTTTTTCCTATGTGCTTGCCACTTGCAGACTGATCAATCAGTCCTGACAATCTTAGCTAATAAGATCTGATGAAATTAGAAGCTTGAGATAGCCATGCATGTTCTATATTGTCATCATTGCTTGAAGCAAAATCCCTCTTATTGATATTTTAATTAAGCACATAACTTTACGCCCACAATCACTGCAAGATGCCAGTTAGCATAATCTCATATTTTTAAGATTTAAAAAGTCTATAATTGGTGCATAAATATAATTGTTTCTGAAGTAAGAAATAATTTTAAATATTGTTTCAGTGCAAACTATATTTGTCCCTATGTTAAGTGTTGAAGAAAATCCTCTTTAGCAGGTTGTACATTAGGTTAAAATAGAATTCTGTAAACTTACCTTTATGACTGTTCTTTTCTGCCTCATTATATTTGATCTGATTATATGTAGTTTTCAGATATTGCATTTATCTTGTGTCAGAAACAATATTGCTGCTCTCAAACAATGTTACTACTGGAAAAAAGATTAATCAGACACTTCAAAGGCCTCATGCTAAAAAAAATTTAAACTCACAGAAAGAA